AAACTACCTTCCCTGGGCTCTGGAGGCCGGAAATGGACCCATTTCTGGCCTTCCAGAACTTCCAGGAGGCCTGTTTTCCCCCTTCCCCGAGCCTCTACATGGGCCCTGCACTTACCTCACATCCCAAATGGGCCATGTGGAGACTCCTGAGCGGGGTGGGGTGGGTAGGCAGGCCAGGCAGAGGTGGGATTTGGAGATTCTCCGAACCAACCATAACGTTAGCTATGGCTTCTCCCGAACCTGGGCGAACCAGTAGCAGCCCACCCCTGCCTCTGATACAAGTGAGATTCATTGCTAGGTAAGCAGAGAGGATTCAGCTGCATGTCCCATTAAACCAATAGAAGAAAATCGTTTGTTATGACTAACCTCAGCTGGAACAGGGCACTAATGTGATTAATCTGTCAAAGCTTTAATTGCCAATTAAACCTATCCTCCACTACATCAGGAAGATTCCTGAGAGATCTGAGGCTGTGCAGTCAACGCAGATGTGCCGCTGCCTTCATTGTAGCACGTTGATGAAGAGGAAACTTAAAAGTGGGGTTTCCTGGTAGTTTTAACAGATGTTTTCCATCTCCGGGTGAGATTTCATGCTTTCAGTAGGAATGCAAGCAATTGGAAGTCAGTGCTAGATTGGGTCCATCATTGCCAAATTATCATGTAGTTTCCTGGGGCTTGGCTAGGCTTAAAATGGCTCCTTCATTGGGTCTCCAAATGTTTGGGTACCCCTTTTATGGCAACACAGAAGAATGGATAGTCTGTGACCCTTGAGCCAATTGTTCCCATCTGCTCAGATTGGCCCTGCTGCTAACATTAAACAGATCCCCAGCCAACCATCTCTGGTTTAATGTTTTGTATGGACGAAGTTACTGAATAAACTATGATTTAAACCAAGAGTGGTTTAATATGTCTAAACTAAGTGTCTGTTTTGGTTGCTGGTCTGAAATAAAAGTGTCAGTACATCTTTTAAAGCAGGCATTTCTCTAACTATGCTGGAAGTTGAGTGTGTTCATTTTTGGAGTCATTTTGTGAAGTTGCTATAATAAGAAATAAGATTCTGTTTTGCTAAACTTGAGAAAGAAAATATTTCAAAATAGCCTTTCCTTCTGGCAATGAGTGGCAGGCTGATTAAATTTGAACATGTTTTCTTACATTTTAAGAAACCGTCCCTTTTCCTTATGGAGTATCAGAAAATATACCTTCATTGCAATCTTTTTAATATAGAAATATTTTCCCATTTAAATGAGCTATTCATTTAAAAGAAAAGTACAACATTAAGAGCAAACTTCCCATTTGAGCCAATTTGACTTTGAAAATGGAAAGGAGGGAGCATGTATATTTCTTATGTGGAAGTAGAAATGGGGTGGTGATGCTGTCCAAGGAACTGAGGGAAGAACCAGGACTTTATCGGGCTATAACTATACCTAGGGGAATACTCAGAAGCTGCCTAAGTTATTTGCTCCCCACATAGATTATAATATTGTTAGATATTATATACATCAATGGTGGGATTCAATTTTTTTTACTACCAGTTCTGTGGGTGTGACTTTGTGGGCATGGCTTTGTGGGCACGGCAGGGGAAGGTGACTGCAAAATCCCCATTCCCTCCCCACCCTACTAACCTGCTTTCCAACTCCGTTCTCCTGTTCACGGCAACAAAAGAAGATCTGCTGGGAGGCTGGGAGCCAGCGGGTGCAGGTTCTCCGAACTACTCAAAATTTCCTCTACCTGTTCTCCAGAACCTGTCGGAACTGACTGAATACCACCTCTGATATACATTACTGTTATAACAGGGTCCATGCAGGAAAAAACCTACAATTATAATTCAGAGTGCTAAGTGATGATGCTGGGCTGAGAAACAGATCAGGATAGGTACATGAGATGAGGGAGGAAAATGAGGATTCAGGTGGGGCAACAAGAAAGCATACCGGCCACCACTGAAGTTGCTAAGGGGAAAAAAGAGCCTTCATCTTGTGGCACTCCCATCATTCATGAGGCTTTTGCAATTATAATCATCCTTGCCACCACCATCGCAAATACTCCTGATCATTCAGAGCAGCTCTTTCTCAATTCTCTTTCCTCCCGGTTCTCTATTGACATGGGAACAGCTCTATTCAAAAGTAGCAAAAGTCAGCTAATTGAATGCTTCAAAGTCACTTAGAAGTGCTCTGAGATCAGAGACATCACACGAGTGAGGGCAGCTCATCCCATTGGGTGGCCAGTAACTTTGATACACCATCCGGCTCTATTCTCCTTTCTAGGGTAGCTATGGGTCCACTGAGCCCAATACTACTTCCTGCTTGCAGGCTTGGATTCCACTGTGTGCTTTACCACTCAGCGTAGTTACTCAATTAGATTTCTTGGTCCTGTTTGTGATGCCATTGTGTATGGAAAACAATCATGGAAATCAATAATTCTGAGCAGGTTTCATTTTTCTTAGCATGTTTGTTCGGATATTTCAATGAGTACAATGACACTTCCCCCTAGGTAGGGATGTGTGTAAATAAGCATGCAAGCTTTGGAAAGGCAGCTTCTGGACTGCAGATGTTGCTGGGTTCAGAATGGGGCAACTCACCGCAGCCAATTCATTGTGACAAACTCGCCATGGCCAACTCACCGCGGCCAATCACCATGGCCAACTTGCCGCAAGACAACTTGCCATGGCCAACTTGCCAAGGGACAATTTAACAATTCAATTGAATTATTTAAAATAAATGTGAAAATATTTCAATTTTGGCCATTCACATTTCATTCTGTCCCTCCTTTTGCATCTTTTCTTTAATTATTCTATTCCACCATTTCTTTGATATTAGTATAACTCTTGTCTCCCAGTGAGTTGTCCCATGGCGAGTTAGCCGTGGCGAGTTGGCCACAGTGAATTGTCATAGACCCCGCTGAATTTCAGCGTTCAACAGTCCCTGAATATCTAGCCCATTTGATAGAGTAGAGCAATAATCCTGGACATGAGTATTTATTCTTAAGGAAGCCCCACTAAACCAGGGCACTAAACAGCAGCACTCTCCATGTTCAGGTTGCCTTTTATAGCAACCTCAGTCTTGATGGGCTTCTCTCCAGAGGTTGTAACATTCACCATTAAGTGAATGACTGCATCTATGACTTTAGTTGCTTGCTGTCCAGCTGACTCCATCTTGCTAAAAAGCGAAGGAGTCTTTGTCTCTGCTTGCATGTTCTAGTTCTAGAGTGTAAACCCTTCTCTCTTTTAAACTCCACCCCCACAAAACCGTTACTAAAAATCTTACAATGGCAAACAAAAAAGGGGGTGAGGAAAGGCATAGAAAAAGCCTACTGGGACAGGCATGAGCTGGTCACTGCAGTCATTCCCAGAATTATCCTCAACCCCTCACAGAGGACTAGCTGCTGAACTACCAGATGTTGAGCTTCCAAGCCACAATACATGTCACAATAAAGGTACAGGTAGTCCTCAGCTTAAGACCACAACTGAGGCCGAAATTTATGTTCTTAAGTGAGACATTTCTTAAATTTCTCCCATTTTATTACTTTTTTTTGCTACAGTTGTTGAATGAATCACTGCAGTTGATAAGTTAGTAACCCGTTTGTTAAGTGTATCTGGCTTCCCCATTGACCTTTGCTTGTCAGGAGGTTGCAAAAGATGATCACTTGGACATTGTAATGGTCATAAGTATGAATCAGTTGCCAAGCATCTGAATGTTGATCACATGATCCTGGGATGTTGCAAAGGTCATAACTGTGATAAACGGTCATAAGTCACATTTTTCAGTGCCATTGTAACTTTGAACGGTCACTAAACAAACTTTTATAAGTCGAGGACTATCTGTGTATTAAAACAAGAAAAGCCATCCCTCCAAAGAGTAATTTGAATTCCAGCACTTTAAATAATTCGTTTAATCCAAAGAAGAAGTTGAAGTTGAGCTGCAGGTCATTTTTTAAACCATCCTCTCAGTCCTTAAGCCCCAATATTTGAAGAATGTCATTGAATATGTTAATTTATATTAAGATTTTATAATTTTATTTAATTTTATAATTTATATATGAAGAGAGCTTCAGTATTTTCTTTCCTGGAGACACAACACAAACAGAAATCCAAAGGATGACCAAATTTTCCCAGCAGTGGGATCTTGGCTATTCACTTCCTTTTGAGGCTCACTGGGTTCTAACATTGCCATTTTTTGTTTCATTTTTGAGCAGCATATTCTTTTCATCCAGTTACTTAAATGTGGTACCAACTTTCTCAGGTCCAGCCTGTGAAGATTCTCAGTCGCAAAGTTCTTCTGGATGTCTTGGGATGAATCTCTCTTTCCCAACTTATTCACTAGTTGATGGAATACAATAAGCCTTACATAGAAGCAGCTGGGAGATAGAGATGCTGAGTCCAATACTTTACAAGCTATTATGCAAGAATACAAATTTGCTTCTTCATTCATTCATTGTTTTTCATCATTCACGCTTATACAAACCTTTCTTACCTTAAACCTTAGGCCTATGAAGACTGATTTTAGGGTTCTAAACAATTGCTACCAACCTGCCTTCCATCGAAGACTTGTATACTGCACAAGTCAAAAAGAGGGCTGTGAAAATATCTATAGACCCCTCACATCCTAGACATAAATTGTTTCAATTTCTATCCTCAAAATGATGCTATAGGGCATTGCACACCAGAGCACAAAGACAGGCTTTTCCCGAATGCCATCACTCTGCTTAAGAACTAATTCCCATAACACTACCAATAATTTACTAAGAATGTATCACTATTATTCTTCTCTTCCTTCCTAGTATCTATCTCTCCCCACTTATGACTATAACCATGTTGCTTGTATCTTTCAATTTATATTGTTTTTATTTGTTTCCTAGTATGATTCGATAGCTTATTAGTAACCTTGACTATCACTAAGCGTTGTACTTTTTATTCTTGATGAATGTATTTTATTCTCCTTGTGTACACTGACAGCATATGCACCAAAGATAAATTCCTTATGTGTCCAATCACACTTGGCAAATAAAGAATTCTATTCTATTCTATTCTATTATATTCTATTCTTTGCCCATCATCATATTCAAGAACAAAATAGGTGTTTGGTGACCAGCTGTACATATAATATACGTTTTGTGTATTTAATCATGATATATTGAAAAACCACCATTAATATGCTAACCTATAAGAACCATAGGGACTGAATTCACCATACACTGTCAGGAAACACCCCCACACATACATTATTGCTTGGAATAAGGTGGGAACTGATGTTATATTTCATACCATGGAATTTTTATAGAATGGTTTTGAGCTAATGTTAGCACAATGCAAATGAATTTGTGTTAGGCTGCTTGGGTGTCCTCAGTGTGTGGATCCTCCTCAACCAGATGTCTACTGGATGCTTTGGAGCACAACTCCCATTGTCCCTAACCAGCTTGGAAGTTATAGTCTTGTTCATCCGGAGAGACTATGATTGGAGACGATGGGTGGAGTTGAGGTTTCCAGAGTCTGAATCTGCATGGAGATGATATCAGAAGAAATTAAGAAAAGCTGGGGACGGGGGAGCTTATTCTGATACTCAGTTTTGTACCAGTCTCAGTTCCTACCTCATTCACCGTGTACACGGCAGCACAGAGGTAGAAGCCTGTGTCACTCGCCTGAAGATTTAACAGATCCAAACGCATCTCCTGGTTTTTTGAGCCTTCCCACTTTGCTTCTAGACGATTCTGCCAATCCTTATGTCTCTCTTGAAGGTCTTTGTCAAAACTGGAGAGGTACCCGAGGGCTGTCAGTTCTGTCTTCCCAGGCAATTGTTGATACCAAAAAAATTTGTAGCCTGCTTCATTCACAGAGCAGCTCATGGTAATACTTTGCCCTGATGAGTTATGGGCAAAGCTTGGAGTCTGGATCACTTCCACAGCAGAGCCACTGCCCACAAAGGCTGAAGAAGGAGAAAGAAAAAGGCAAAATTAGATGGGGAAGCTAGAGGGGAGCCCAGGAGACTCTGAAAGAATTAGGTCAAGGGAGGACAGTGAAATCTGGAGGAAAATGGGGCTCTGATGAAGGAAGGGGTCCATGTGCCTTTCAGGACACTTACCACACCAGACGGCAAAGAGGACATGGGAGAAGCGGAGTCCAAGGAGCCCAGAGCTGGAATGAAGAGGTATCTTGGCCATCTCAGCCTGGTGCTGCTACTGCAGCTGCTGGGGATAGATGATAAGCTGCTGGGTTTCCTGTCATGTGTTGGCAATGGGGCTGCAAGAACTGTCTGGGGAAGGGAACCGGATGCCCAGACCTCACTGCAGCCTTTGCACCTGAGTTCAGGCAGAAAAGAAGTGCAGGGGCTGGGCAGAAATGGGGACCTCCATTTGCCTTCTGTGTGTATGTGGGGGGGGGGGATTTCTGCTGCTTAGAAAAAGAAGCTGCTGGAGAGGGGCTGGTTTGCTACACCTGCTGGCTTGGCTATAAATAGACTTTTAAGGGCAAACTCATTCATACTTTCAGTTGTTCTTTCAAAAGTGATGGTTCTATGTACCCAGTCAAAAGCCCTTGAATGATTTTATTTGGCTTTGAATGCAGCTCCCAAGGCCCTTATTTTGAGTATTTTCTCTCTTCTGCCATTTTCAGTAACTGTGTTTTTTAGTTTTTAAGGCTGCAAAAATAAGGTTGAAGATGTACAAGCAATGGCTTTGAGTTCTCAGAAGAATTTGGAGGGTCGGAGAAATTTCAGTGCATATAGGTTTCCCTAACGTTGGCTTCTCTCCAGAACTCCAAAACAAACAACAGCTAGTGAATGTCTGCAGTGGGGAGAAAGGGAACAGCATCAAAATGGTGCATGAGATTGAGAGGTTGCAGCTGCATCTCTTTTTCATGCCTGCAAAGTGTGCAGTGCATACCCAAAGGGGGCAGCACTTCGATCGCTGGGTTGCACCCACCACTGCTGACTCCCATCTGCAGAGACCCTTGCATATCTCTGCTTATTTTCAGGAATTTGTTCAGGGTTCAAAGTATTGAACTTCTTGGTACCGGTATTTATATTTTGTATGAATTGCATTGCTTCCCACTGGAGGTTTCTGTTCTCTACATTAATAGATAGGCAACAAAGTTTTGAGAAGAGGCATTTGAGTGGTAAAGGGCTAAACCCATTTCCAAAGCAGTTCGAGAGGTCAAGGGGTGACAAAGGGAAACACTTTCTCTATGTGTCTCTACTGAACAGTCCTCCATTGCCACTACTGATCAGCTGCTGAATGCCCCTCAAAAACAATGTCAAGGGAGTGATAGGGAAGAGTGTGCCCAAACCAGCTTAAAGAGGCCAATAGGATGATGGACTGATGTCACCCAATGGGGGTCAACTGACTTCAGCATCAGTTAAATATGTCAGAATATCCACCAGGTAAATTACTGAGCCTTGTTAGCTGTTGAAAATGGAAGGTACTATTGTTAAATCAGAACAATTAAGGAATACTTTATGCTGCTTCAGATTAGATAAACATGAGGACATGGCAGAAAAAAAGAGGTTTCTGGAACATGTTAGTGCTATAGGGAAGGCTGCCCATAGAGCAACTTTTATGGGATTGATGGACAGTTAGGCTTGAAAAACCCTTCCCTACCCTATTAGGTATGGTGTCCCAACAGTGACAGATATGGTGAATTCAGAAGAAGGCTACCAAGCCTGAAAAGATCTAGAAATCAAGCCTTATGAAGGACAATTATGAGATCTGGGATTTGTTTTGATTGATTGATTATGATCCATCAAGATAGTGACCATGTAGGTAGATCCTCTCCAGGATAATCTGTCCCCAACATGGGTCTTCTGATTTTCTAGGGGTGCACGCATCAGTCCGGTAACTGAGTCCTTCCACCTTGCTCCTAAATTCATCCTCTTCTCTTTTCTTCCACCTTCCCAGCATTATAAACTTGAGAGGTAAGTCTTCATATAATGTCTAAACTACTGTGATGTGAACCTGGCCATTTGTGCCTTGAGTGAGAGCTCAAAAGTTTATTTGTTTTATGATTTTTGTTTTCTTGGTTTTCTGTAGTATTCTCAGGATTTTTTCCCCCCAACACTAAAGTTCAAAAGTGTCAATGCTCTTCCTATCGTGCTTCTTCAAAATCCAATGTTTGATTACATAGACTGTCACATGGAATACCACACCTTGTATGATTTTGATTGTTACAGATGTAGTTACCTAACAGGATGTGAATATTTTTTCCAAGGCCTTCATAGTCCTTACTCTGTGGTGTCTTTCTTGACTGCTGGTTCCTTACTGTTGATGGTTGATCCTAAAGGGCAGAAGCAATCTGTGACATCAGTATCTTCATTGTTAAGGAGACTTTTTTAAACCTACAGAAAAGACAATGCAATGAGAGATGATGGCACTCTTCAGAATCTGAAACAGTGTCAAATAGAACCCCAGACAGCAGAATGAGAAGCAATAGATTAAAATGATTAGGAAGGAGGTTCAAGCTAGACATCAGAAGGAATTTCCTGATTATATTAGTTGTCTGCCAGTGGAACAGGCTGCCAAATGTAGTAGTGAATTCTGTTTTGCTGGAGGTCTTCAAGTAGGGATTGGGTGGTCATTTTTCAGAGATGCTGTTATGCTGAGCAAGAGGTTGGAATTGATAACCTCCTAGGACTCCTTTTGATTCTATGATTCTGTTATTCTCCCCTTATAAGGAAAATGAAAATGAAGACTTTGACGATGCCCAGTGGTACACTGTACAGATGATGCTGTTGCAGCTATTTTTTTTGGCTCAGATTTATTTCTGAATCTTCACCACAAACTTGCCTACTGCTGCTGTACTTAGGTTAAACTATCCTAAAGAGAGCGTGAATTACAGGGCTGCTTGCTTACCTTTGTGGAAGTTTCTTTATTCCCCAGATCATTATTGCCCAATGATATTGTACACTTCTGTTGAGAAATTTTCATTGCATTAAGTAGAACTCACAAGTATAGAAATGTATGCTTACTATTTTTAGATAATTCTGCTACAGTGAGAAGAGGAATCATAACTTGAGCTTGTCAGCTGAATTAAAACTTTGCTTCTCTTCTTTCCCTTTTCACCCAATAATTTTTATGCAGTCTAAACCTTTTTGCCCTTGATGGGTTTACTTAGTTTTTCATTTTTTTAAAAATCTGTTTCATCCACAGTGTTTTTATTTGCCTAGTTGCCTAATGGCTATATGATGCATAGTTTGAGCAGTCGGCCACAGCTGGAATGAGGGAATGGTAATGACCCTGAATTGAATTGTCCCTGTGTAGATTCTTTCTATCCATGAATCCTTGGTTTTTAGAATAATTCTGAGAGATGAAGACATGTCTAGAGTGCTGGAAGGCAAATCTGATTGACTTTGGTAAGAGCCTTTCTTAAGAGTTACCTTGTAAAGATAAATGTGAAAAATTATAGTGAGTCTTCTGTTCTTATTGTATGTGTAGAGAATTATCTGGTGGCCCTGTTTACAATGATTTGGTAACTCCTCAAAAAGAATGGGCTGGAGGAACATCTATATTACTACTGTGAAACAGTTCTAGGCATCAATCAGATAAAGTCACTCAAATCTGCTCTGAGTTAGATTCTGGATGTGCAGATCCCAGAAAATTGAGTGAGGCATGCTCTAGCATAGTTATCTGGAAAGAGTTCAAGCCTGTTGGTCCTGAGGAAGTGGATAGGGTCCTTGAGTCTGTGAGCATGGCCACCTGCATATTGGATCCATGCTTCTGGTTGGATTCATGCCTCCCAGGAGAAAGCATGTGGGAGCATCAAAATGATGGTGAATGCTTCCGTGAGAGTTGGGGGATTCTGCTGGATTTAAAAGGCAGTGATCCATCTCCTCCTCAATAAGCCATTCTTGGATTCCATAGTACTGAATAATTGTACTCCAGAGGGCCCTGAAGGAAATGAATTATCTGAATTCTTTTCAATAAGGTTTCAGACTAGGATACAATATCAAAGTGGCATTAATTACGTTTGGTGGGACCAAGTTGGAGTGGTGCATCTATCCTATCCCTTCTTGATCTCTTAGCAACTGTTAATACTGTTGATCATAGTATTCTTCCAAAGTGATTTTTGAAGTTAAGAATTGGAGGCATGTGTTATAGTGATTTCCTCCTTCCTTCATGGGTGGTTCAAGCCAGGGTTGTTAAAGGATGAGAACCTTGTTTTGTGGAGTTCCTCAGAGCTATATAGGCTCTTATCCAACATCTTTATACTTTATACTACTGAGGGAAATTGTTGGTACAGGACTGGATATAATCACTATGCTTATGATACATCTCCACCCTGGGATGATAAGCTGATACCAACAAGGTTTTTTTTCAATGAGTATCTGGAGGTTGTGAGGGCCTGATGACACAAAAAATGGCATAAATCATCACCAGGGTATACTTCATCATTAAACAACCTTCACAAATACTCCATGAAAAGGCTTCAAATACTTTCTTCATGTTGCAGCTCTTGTCATTTTCCTCAGTGTCTTTTTCCCCACTGCATTTGTAACAGGTGCCTATACTTGCATAACACAGATGTTGAATAGATATCATTCATTAATAACAATAGATATTATGGCATTGTTTGCTGGGCTATAACTAAGCACATACTGATTGGATTTTTGGATATCATTCACATGCCATTTCCTTGTATGTTTTCATTACCTGAATAATACATCATGTAATCATCTGATTTAAGTTGGCTATGCCAATTCAATTAAGTTTGTTTATTCTTAAAGCACCCACTGTAATATGCTTCATTTCCTCTTTGAAATTTTTTAGTTTTTCTTGGATCATGTTTCTCACACTCTGCATCCTAGATAAACATATTTGTACAAAATGGAGAAGCTCCTCTTTCACTGCTTGCACTATTAGTGAGCAGATTTCCTTGTTGCTTTGAACTGGTTATATTACCCAGAAATTCTATGTGAAAGTTAATGTCCTGCTCCAGTAAACAGGAATGCTTCCAACTCAGGAGTGGTAATCACTTAACTTCCCTACCGGTTCGCAAATGTGAGTGAATTTCAGGGCATGCGCTTTGCCTAAAAAAGGGATAAATGGGATGCCGTAGAGCCAGGGCAGGTGGGCAGGGCCATCCACAATTTCCGCTACCAGTTTGGGTGAACCGGTCTGAACCAGTAGCATATCACCACCATTCCAACTTAAATATAAATCAATGTATTTGGTGAAAATAAATTATATTCCCTAAAATGGATATGGGGA